GGGGGGGGGGGGGGGGGGGGGGGGGGGGGGGCGTTACGCCCCAAGCGCCTGCCCCCCCTATTTACGCCCCTGCTTATCATGGAAGACGAATAGATAAAGAGTGCAATAAAGACAACCGACGCCTATTGATAGGCTGCTTTCTCAAATTTGGCTCAACCTATCAGTTTGCTTGGTACACTAAAACATAGAGAACTTTATATAATATTTATTTATAAATTCCTTTTTTAGTAAGCAGTTTCCATTTCTTTGTAGCATTCAGATTGCTGCATGCCACGAAAACATCACCTGCTCAACATTCACTAGAATTACGTACAGTTTTTATTTGTTAAATAGATTCCTATACGCTATTCAAATACACTAAGAAAAGGATGAAAGTATATTTATTTTATAGGCATAGGACTAACATTTTGCGTAAAACACTACTACCTAAAAGAGATATACAAAGTATATATCTTTAGATATTGGGCCGAGAATTTATCTAACATGTTTTTTAGTTTTTCAACAAGAAACGCACTAAGAATGCTCAACTCAGCACAGCAGTTGGTACACAAAACAACTATACATATCTGAATGAAAGAAAAATAAAATTTGAGCTGAATCTAATTTGAGAAAATTATATTTTTAAAATGTTAATGATGCATAAACACAACTAACGGTGACTTATCAAAGAACATGTCATCGAATTCAGCAGAAAATTTTCTAAATTTAAACATTATCACCAAATTTCTTGATTGATTCTAACTTGTTAAAACTAATTTATTAAAAATTTGCACTTTATTTGTCGCAACTCTTATTAGCGTTCTTTTCTTCATCCAAAATCGAAACTGCTACTACTGACAGCAATAGGCTAAAACATAAAATGCTCTCGAGCTTGTTGCACATGTCTACCAGAACTGACTTTGAGCACAACACTTAATATTCAAAATGATACAATGCATAAAAAGCTTCTTAAACATTCAGTGGATAATGAAGGGATACAAAGAGACTCTGCATTAGTAACAAGAAATGAAATCGATAGAAATTTTGACTTCAAATTAGATAAACACAAAGACTGTTCAAGTCCAAATTCATGTTGGTATGCAAAATAAATCTATCTTCCAGATTACTCTAAATTGTCATGCCACACATAACTACCACGAAATTCAACTGCTGCCGACAGGGAGTTTTCGGTAGCACATGCAGTTATTACTCAGACACGAACTTAATTTAGATCCCAAAATGATTAATAATATTTCATTTCTTCGTTCAATAGGGAACATCAAAGAACAAGTTTGAGTGATAATATTTCATAAATATTTGATAACACATAGAAGGAAAAATAATTGAGATCGGGTGAGGCGGAGCGGCGAAAGAAAATTAAGGTTCGTGCGAGGTGGGGAGAAAAAACTCTTCCCTGTTGCGGGCTCTGGTCAGCATCAGCATTATAAAATTTAGGTTTTCGGATGTAGGTTTTTCGGAATGAAAGAATTCGCTGTAGATATGTAATTTCAAATGTTATAAATGAATAGCTCTGAATCTAGTTTTCACAAATCGAGCCATTCTGAAATAGACTGAAATCCAATAAACTACTCATCCATTTTGAGAGTAGAACGCTACGGACTTGTTAGCCTGAACAACTTTATATCTTGTCTTCTGTTAATTGGCTCGCTATTTCTGTTGAAAATGCATGAGACTCATCGAGAATTCTTTACTAAATCAGTAATTTCGCTGATGCTTGCAGTGTCAATACAATGAGCAATTTATTTCTTTTGTTTGAAATTTACTGAACCAATTCACATAGCTAAATTGAACAATTTATTTTCATTCTTACTGTACGGATGTTGATCTCCCAGCATTGGATGAACAGACATTTTTACAATACACTTGCTTTAAAATGAGTTCGTGTGTTTGATTTCTTTTATTTTGTCGAGAATGCAAGCATCCAATGCCAGACTTGAATGTTTTTTCTATTTGTTTACGTCTTCTATACGTCTTTCTTCCTCTTGTTAGGTGTGGATGAGAGTGCTGTGATGGGCGAGATTGGTGTGTGTGTAGGTGTAATGGCAAGACGAACACTCACAACAAATGGTGATCAGTTTCATATAAAACAAATTAGTTATTTGTGAGTCCATCCGGTTTATCATATTCCTCGCGAACAATACGAAAAATTTCTGTATTTTTCTTTTATATTTTAGGTTTACGTTCTTTCTTCACAATTTTTTCTATATGTTTTCCTATATGAAGTTTGATTACGTTCATTTTATTCGTCCAATTTCTGTACGTCCCTCTCTCTGTATGTCCTTTTTCTATACGTCCTATTTTTGCACATCCTTTTCTTTTACGTCCTTTTTTGTGTGTCCTTCCAGTATCTTCACCATATTATTTGTAGCTTTTTAAGTACTATCGATCGAATTCAGAATGCTATAGCAATCCTAGAGATACTAGAGGAGGCTCTAAAGTCAAGCCAAGGACATCAGTTGAACTGCTTTGTCAGTCCAAAAAAATGCTTAGCATGCATCAAATAATTGTTTCGGTTAGTCTACTAAGAGTTCGTCAGATTACATGTTGTATATCTGCAAATAATGCAAACTTGATGACGACAACTCGAGATTCTTCCTTTTCAGTGCTTTCAAGTGTGAGATAAAGGTAACCCTTGCTGTGTACACAGAAACGAGCATTGGTCACGGGTCAATGTTTTTAAAAACTGTCATCGAAGTAATATTTTAGTTTTTCACTTTTCATACATCTTAAGGCTTGTAACTAATTCTTCGAAGAGGATATGTAGGAAAGGGAACGTAGGAAAAGGACGCACAGAAAAGAACGTATAGAACATGACTTGCAACAAAAAGATGTACTGGGAGGACGTATAAAAACGAATATAAAGAAAAGTACATACAGAAAAATCTATATAAAAATAACGTATGTAAAAAGCTGGTATAACATCATACGATATTATATGAGCTTTAGCTGTATTTTAGAGCTCCCTCAGAAAAAGCGAGCTATTTTTTTTTTGACCGTTTCCCAAAGAAATCATAAAGCAGATTATATGTTATTTGTTCTCCTGTGCATATTTTTCCATTCCTGGATGAGTTTCTGTTGAAGCATTGGCTTCTTGTGCACTGTTTTCACGTAGTTTTGCTCGAATGCTTTGTAGCGTAGGATCATTCCAGCCATTCCAAAAATATGTTGAAAATGTAAAATGCACTGGTCCTGAACTCGATTCCCTTAGGATTTTTTTAAAATCCTCGTTTTGTGGGAATGTTGCCAAATTTGCTTTATGCATTTCATCCACTTTCACTGATTCCAGTCTGATCGTAGTTAAACAGATTGTCCAGCTAATCTACACAAATCACCTGCCCCTGAATTCAAAATGTTTTCTTTATCCTGTTCGTATGTTGTTCTAGCACATTGAAAATGGTATTCAGAAGATAAATCTCTTATTCCATCCATAAAAAATTTACATGAAAGAAAACTATCCGTTTCTGGATGTTCTGTGTCATCAATTGTAGCAGAGCCACTCATGCAAAACCTTTCAAATTTGTCTACAAAAAGCAAACTAATAGACATACTTATATCGGTGTGCGCGCTCTAACAAAATGATTTTTAGTAGAACTCAAAAGACTCGTTCTATGTATATACGAGAAGAATTCTTATGAGTTTCATTAAAATATCGGCTTTTTTTTAGAGTATGAGTGTGATTGTTTGTTTTCACAAGTCTCAATAGCACTGTTCTCTTCGAACAAAACCAGCCTCTCTCCTACACTCTCTTGGTCAGAAGTTCTTTCAAATTTAAATAACGGATGAGGCAAATTAAATGGCTGCGCTTTACATTCCAATTTTCAATCTCTTTATACGTTGTTAGGCCTACAACAATTCCATATGAGTTCCGATTCTGAGATCTGTTCCAATAGGTTTTCTTTTGACAGCAACTGCTTTGTCTCAATGGTTTACAAGGGCGTTGCGCCCTAACCAAATATGATTAGGCCATAGCCGTTTCAATAAACCAATCGGGTTTTCGAAAAGTTTTTTCTTACTTCACAGAGAAGAGTTGGGTTTGTTCGGATCATATGGCAGAGGATCCTCGATAACTTATAGATATGTGCGAAAAAGATGATATTTTACGGATAAAATAGTAAAGAAACAGGCTCTTTTGTGCCTGATAAGTTGATAGAAAAAGGCTATCAATTCATCAAAGTTTTAGGATAGCGTATTTTACTGTTAAAATAAAACGCAACATTTGGAAGCTCGATCACGAGGTTATCCATAGTCCTCCTATAGGTAACCAAAATTGCAATGTTTGGTTCTCATCACGCGTACACCTGCATATCACACACCCACATCGTTCACTATCGTTTAATATGATAAGTTTAAAAAAAACATTGATTTCCATACTTTTGCCGCAGGCTTTTATTAATCTTTGAGAAGAAATAGGATGGAATAGTCGATAATATCTGTATGAACCATGAACAAAGCGTATGTGTTTTTCCTCTAGCGAAGAAAAACGGTTCTGGAGTCAACGCACATTTGATTATCTCCAAATTTTGAGTTTTTTGCTTAGATTTTACATAAAAAGTTAGTTTTATAGATGACGGTTCAATCTTAAGTTTAATTTTTAAGAAAATATCAACAAGATAAGCTTGACAATTTGTCGAAAGTGATACTGTTTGAATTGTGCTTTTCTGGAACTGGAATAAACCTCAATTAAAAAAATAAGAAGGTTTAGAGAAATTGAAGGAAAAAAACTTATAGTTCCTTAAACAATACGATTGCGTCGATAATTATGCCTAAACTTCCCGTGCACATGTTTTATTAAGAAATAATTCTATATTAAAAAGATTATAAAATTCATTTTTTACGTAATTCTGACGAGGAGCAAGGGTGAGTTTTTCTACTTAAAAATTTGTTTACATAGTAAAAGGCTGTTGGCGCAATCCCTTGCGGGATTAAAAATTTGAAACACGTTGCATGTATTGTTACTAATTTAATGGAAATCGTTTTGCTTCATTTATTTGCGATATATTTGTATTCTAAGCATTTATCTGATGCTTTAGAGCGACAGTCTCTCTGCCACGATCTTTGATGGCCCCAAGCCCTGTCTGTTACGACCTGCGATGGGTTCAAACCCTCTCTGTCTCGGTTTGTGATGGGTCCAAACCCTCTCTGTCTCGGTTTGTGATGGGTCCAAACCCTGTCTGTCGTGATCTGTGGGGGGGGGGGGGGGGGGAGGTGGAGGATGCAAATTTCTATCTCTAAACATTTCAACACTCCTTTCAGATCGTGTTTCACAAAAATTGGTGAAGACCAACTGGTCTAACCGTTTCAACTAGTCCGGCCCGGTTGGAGAGGACTACTTTCTCTGAACCGGTTCCAACTCTGGGCGTAGGTGATGAATATGGTTGCAGACATGAGTTCTTTATACGTAGTCTATCACATCCACATTCGATCGTGAATTAGGGTGTCACGTTCGTTGATTAGATGTAGAATTAGTGTGGCTACCAACCCATGGTTTTTATTCAGAACTTAGCTACATCCGGATCTCAGCTTCGATCAATTTGCCAAGCTAGGGTGTGTGGGGGTGGGAGGCGAAGGCGGTCATCAGCATAAGGTTTCGATTCGCAACATAGCAACACACACAAACAAGCATCAATCATGGTGTCATGCTCGGGTGATTGGGTGTTAGCACGGTTTTGATGTATGAGCGCGGCTATCGATGCATGTTTGCTGGTCACAAATTACCAACACTTATATTCCTCTAATAAATCAACAAGTGAGGCTAGGATATGCGAACAATAACCATAGCTCTCTATGTAGGTGTTTCATCCATAATCTACCACATTCATGACAGTTAAATAACATTCAAAAAAGTTTCCTTTGCTTTTCAGATCTGCCGTATAATTTACCCGCCGCGTTCAACTAAATGAAACCAAAATGTTCTGAAACTGTCAATGCTGTTTTACTTTTGATTACAGTTTGTTTGTGGTACTCTGTTTGCTTGTCTTTTTCAAATGATTTGTTTATTTTGTAGCATGGGGACGCATTACGTTCTGTTTCTTGCTTCTTGTACCTCCTTTTCTTCATTCTTCTAAAATTCTTTTAAAATTTTCAACTGTTTGAGGCAGACCGCGCATAGTAACGGTAAATATTCATCGTACGTGTGCTGATAAAGAAGAGAGTTCATATTTGTCCAACTAAATTAATTTGGCATGGTATATACAGATAGGCAGTCATTTCGGGTGTGGGTGCATATGTCTGGAGTGAGAGTGCGGGTAGTTGTGAGTGAAAGTCTTCTATTTATATATGTGCCCACACCTACCCACATTCATACGCCCCGAATCACACCCACAC